AAATCTTCACCTTGCTCACAATAGTCTCCCGCAAAGTCCCACTGGCAGAGGCAGCCGTACGTCCCATTGGGTCCTGGGATACAAGTCCCATTGTTCAGACAATCCACTTCTGTGCAAGGGGATGCTGTCATCACAAAAAAGATACCAAAGAAGTCAAAAACAATCACATAGCGACATCGTCACAATTCTTCTTCTTTCTTCTGTAGTTCATAGAAAATCCCTTTGAATGTTTACTGAAAAATAACCACCAAATATTTGGACAGTACAAAAAAACAAAGAATGAACAAACATTTAAATTGTGATGACTCAAACTACATTCAAATGACCATAAATCTAGTATAGCTTCAACATCAAAGTTAGACAGAGCTCAATGTACCTTGGCATTCCATTCCATTGCCCAGGTAGCCATCATTGCATTCACACCGACGACGGCCATCTGACACGGTGCATTCTGCATTTTCATCACAGCTGACTGGTACGCAGTTCAAGGAACCAGACTGGCAAGTGCACAACGAGGAGCACTCTTCATTCATGAAGACCTGGCCTTCCTAGAGAGAAGAAATAAAACAAAAACCACTGAGGTAACCACAGAATCTGGAGACACAATGGCGCTACTCACTCAAATGGCACGCAATTCACCATCTCCACCCCACCCCATAGTATCACAGAGATTGGGCTGACTTGAATGTCAAAGCTGCAACCTCATGCTTAAGTTTGCAAAAAGACATTTTATTCAAACCACGAAAGGTTCCAAAACCACAAGCTGAGTCCTACCTCGTAATAATTCCCGGTCTGGACTTGGTAGCATCCGCAGTCATCCCTTGGGACACAGTGTGGACCACTCAGGACATAACCATCATCGCATTCGCAGGCTTCCACCCTCCTCTCGTGCTCACAGCGTGGCCTCTGGTTCCTGCGCACGTCTACACAAGTCTCAGGGCAGGGGGAGGCACTTGGATTGTAGTGGGAACCCTCCGGACAGTCAACGGCTGATGGAAGAAACCACAAGAAAGGAAAAAATGGATTGATTTCAATGCTTAACAGTGCCTGAGACTTTGACCTTGTTAGCATGGGGATGTAACAGCTCCAACTGGCCTGAAATCCCTGTGGGCCCCTCTCATGTTGCCTATTATTTGTATGGGTGGCCAAAGTTAGTAGGAACATCCCTCCTTGATTGGCGTTCGATTTAATCTCAAAACGTAAAAATGCCTCATATTGTTACGGAGGGTCATATTTTAATTTAAGATATTTAACAGTGTTCAGAACTATTCATTTTATGGTGTTATGACAACCACATGGGATTTATTTATTTTTCTTTTGCTTTGTTATCGTTAAAATCATAATTGGCATTAATGCAAAAAAGCAGGTAAAACATGACACTAAGAAACAGAAAATACAAGACACAAAAGTGCATTTCAGAAATTCCAATAAAATTTGATGACCTAGTACTTTTAAGTGACTGTAGTTATTTATTTTTGTTTGCACCACAATGCAGTACAGAACAGATACAAGCAACCACAGAGATGATTTCGGTTGTCCAAACCTAACAATCAGCCCAACAAAAACATTGGAACAGGTTCCACTTACGACAGTAGTCCAAACTCCTCCAAGGCTCGTGCCGGACACCAAACCTTCTGCAATGCCTGGTGACGGTCAGCGGGTGAAGACAGATCAGGTACGGGTTCAGTCTGGAAGCACAGGCATCGAATAAACATCTGGCCTTGAAAACCTGTGGCATGTCCACACACCTTGACAGAGGTCCTGTTGGTGAGACGTAGAGGAGAGTGCTTCAACAAAGTACACGTAGACGGGGATCCAGACTTTGTGTCAACTCTCCCTTAGTGCTCATTGTCCGCATCTATCCCCAGTTCACATCTATCCAAAGGATGGCTTTTGTGGCAAGATGGCAAGAAAGCCTCTACAAGATCTACTCGGTAGATTTGTTGAAAGATCGGCAAATTTAAAGGGACACAGGCTTTGAACTGATGAGGGAGAGAAAGCTAACGCTAAACAAGAGCAGTCTTCCATGTCTCCTTGTGCTCTGTTCGGAGTGACATCATGAGATGGGACTCACCTTCAACAACCTCATTACAGAATGCGTACGCTTCACTGAGGGCTTGTGGGCTGACGCTGTCGCACGGTGAAACTGTCGGGGGAGGTTCGATGGGAACGGCACAATCATCATTGACACGGTAGAAGTTGCCAACGTCAGTTTCTAATGCCTAGAGGTAGAAACCATTAAGGATTTTCAAAATAAAAAGCCATACCACTGTAATGCTGTCTGACAGAAGACAAAACAAGGGACACTTATGCAAAACACTCAAGTTGCTTTCTATTAAGGAAAATACTGATCATTAGCGGACAGTCCTGACAATCAAAGAGGATGTGTTCAACTTTATTGATCAACTTCAACATCAAAATGTAATCTGTCGAGATACCACCCATCTAAGAGATACAGACCAGAACAGTTGCTTCCCGAATTGATTACTGAATGCAGAGACCTGAAATAAACAAAGCTTACAACCTAAGGGAACCCGCGGTTTGGATCACAGTAAAGCCTTGCTGACACACTTTTTAAATGTACGTGGTTTCCAAAAAGGCATGCAGGGCAATGACTTACGGGTTTTCCCCTGATGAAAGAGTCATTAGCATAGGAACCATCAAAGTTCCCACAGAGACCACACAATCTGCCAGTAAAGTTGGACGGGACGATGACAGATGCAGCGTGCCAGCCGTCAAAGGCAACCTCGAGGCCTATGGGAGACCTCAAGACCTGAAATGCAATCAGCAAAGGCACATGAGCAACTTATTCTGCAAGAGCCGATTAGAAAAAACTGACATTGGTCAGACAGAGTGGCCCAACAAGACAGACCCTCAGAAAAGTCCCAAACAAACAATCAAACAACAACCCCGCAAGAGTTGCTGAACAAATAACTGGATCAAAAAGCGACAAAAGATAAAAAATAATGTGCAGCATCAACCATTTTTGCAAAGCCAAATCAAACTTTCTTACATCAGTTGCTCTTTGCTGTCTAATAATTTACAACTTTTTTTTAACTCTACAGAAATAGTAAGCAATTTCATTGGCTTGAAAATGAACCTACTCACTTTCAAAAATCAAATCACTTATTTAAAACTGAAGGTAAGCAAAAGTTGTTCAAAGAGGAGATAATTTAAATTGAAGAAAGAATAAAGGGTACATGAAAAAAATCCTGTAAGAACCTCACATTTGAAAGCTCGCCCATGGGCAATACATTGGCCTGCGTTTCTACCTACCACATTCATGCCACTGATTCGAACTTCAATCCCATCTTCAGACACCGGTAATTCAACCTCCAATCCGTTCACCTCTACAGAACGTCTACGGCCAAGTGTGATTTTCTACACATAGATTGAGAAAAATGAAGAAGCTAAATCTAGGGGCTTTATGTTCAGTATTAATGTATATGAGAAAAGAAGAACACCTGATTGAATCTGCACATGCTCTGTAAGAGTGCTGCATGAACCTAACACTTGAGTTTGAGTTGAGTTTTTCATTCTAACTTTGTTGAGTGTATCCCCCGCTTGAAAGCTATACCTTGTCGTCAATGAGGACATGGATGGCCTCTATTCCTGAGGAGAGAGGGGTCAAGCGTGTGCTCTCTTGTATGACCTGAAACGATGGCTCAACATCATCTGGGCAAGTCTTGGCCAGAACGTAGTGACACTCTCCCTCAAATGTGAGGGACGCACCGTCAAAAGTTACAAAGTGTTGAGTGCCATAGCTAAGACACACACCCCGTCCTGCCAAACAACAATGGAAATAGCACTGGTGATGATGGACATAATGCGAAATGAAAGTTTTAGAACATGAGATTTTATAATCATATTTCCCCGAGGTCTGACCAACCAAGATGACTTACATTGGTATCATTTTTAATGAGGCCAGCAGTTCTGATAATTGTTTACAAGATGATATAGTTGGTTGCAAGAAGTTCACAGTTGATGGGAAGTAGGTAATAGTTGACAGGAAGGGGATAATAGTTGATACTGGAGAGGTAGCAGTTGATATCACGCGGATAACATTTAATAGAAAGGGGGCAATTGTTGTTTACAAAGAGATCAGATGGTTGACAGGGGTAAACATGGACACTAAGGAGATAATACTGAACATGGAGGATGGGATAAGAGATGACAGGTAACAGCAAGGAGTCAATAGTTGTCTGCAAGGAGGTCAAGTTGCAGACAGGTCAAAGCCCACAGTTCTTCCAACGGGTGCCTTTTTCACAATGTTCGCATAAAATTTCTTCGGAAAGCTCATGGCTTGTGTGTGACAAACTTCACCAAATGACAAAGAATAGATACTCACGCAGTTCACAACTCTTTCCAGTCCAAAACTCGGTGCATTCACACCAGTAGTCATCGCTACCCACGGGATGGCAGACACCAAAATTCTCACACGGGTCAAATGTGCAAGGATTTACTGTGAGACAATTCAAACAACATAGACTCTCCATTCTACAGATACGAATACTGAAAAGCTAGAGCTCCTTTACACATCCTTCACACACAGAGTTCTGAAAATTATCAATATGTTTTCTGCCCTACCGGCAGGTAAGTAGCCTGACCAATCTGCTCAGTGAAGAAGTGTCCCCCTCGCCAGTTGAGGACAAAATGGCTAGTGGGACCATTTCTAGTTGGTAACCGGACACAGGCAAAGAAAATTGGTTTGGCACACTTGGTACAGCCTTACATCAAGCATGGGCTTTTGCATGCTGACGGCCCCAACCAAAAGGGATCTTGTGTGACTACGGCAAGTCATCCATGCAAGATAACGCACAGGCTGAAGGATGCAGCTAAAATCCACTTCCAATAGTCAGACGTGTGCAGTCGGGTTATTGAATGCAGCAGCCAACAAGAAACAGCCGCTCGGTGAAATTTTGAGACTGAAACTATACACGTGCAAATTTCTCACAGTATTTGGTTTCAAAATTACAAGTGTTAGTCACAAGGAAACAATGGAACTGTTTGAGTGTTTCTATATGGTTCATGAGTGATTTTGTCATACACATGGACACACCACTGACTGCACCACTGAAGTTGCATGTAAACTTCCAGTTCCATGGTTTCATGTAACTCTATGGTCAGTGGTTGTGGTTTAAATTGAAGTCACGTCACACTTACGAACCAACTTTTTCAAGGGCATTTTTATTGGTCTCCTACGAGTCTCCGGTCAAATTTCTGATAACAACTTTGAAATCCATACCACGACCAGCAAGTCGGAGACCAAGTATTTTCAAGAATAAGACTGTGCTGAACTGTTCTTGAGACCAATACCAGTCTTGAAATAAAGGCTACAATAATGGCTATTGCTACAAGAAAACATGCCATCTCTCATTCATGTATGGATACTCTCAACATTTACAGGGTCACGTTTTTGACATGTGACACCAATGATGTCTAGTACACAAGAATGGGCTTAATACTAGCAGCAATAACCCTACTTTGGGCAAAGCATCAAAGGAAACATTACACTACGTTAGCTCTTGAGATGGGCATTTTCAAATTACCGTGTACAATGTACCAGCCAAAACTCCTATGTGTCAGATGGGGGGGGTAAATTTTAAAAACCAATCAAATCTTCTACCAACATCTTCAGTTTCGACTAGAATTTGAGTCACAGAGCGACATAATGAGGATGACTTTGGCAGCAAAATTCTAGTTCAAGAGCATTCATATTGTCCTTCATTCAGAATGCACTGCTGAAGCTGAACAAATCACTTAACATCAACAGAGAGTATAGATATATGTCAGAACTCTAACAAAACGCTGCAGGATGGCATGGCTCGGTTCCTGAGAGCAACTCGCCCCAGTACACAGACTACTTGCTCAGACTTACAGTTGCATTCTTCGATTCCGTCCCCTATCAGTGGCTCCTGGCAGCGGCATCGTCTCTCGCCATCTTCCAGGATGCACTCAGCATTTTCGTGGCATGCGATGGGGGCGCATTGGACTTCACTGTCGTTACATACACATCCCATTTTGCAGTCAGCAGTCAGGAAGTGCTCTCCTTGCTGCGAAAAGTCAAGTGTGGGTAGTTACTTTTTAAATGCCACAGAATTCAGTTTTCACATTGGGAGTTTGCCCTTCCCTGACTAAAAATGAAATATGCACCTCTCATAGATGAAAACTTCTGTTGGCATTTAAGCAAAAGAATAGGTGTCAACAGATATGACGCAATGGCAGACTGTCCACTAGATGACACGCCAAAAAGGGCAGAGGTATTATATCCAAATTTCACTCGCTTAAGTTTGGATTTTATGAAAATTGTTTTTGCAGCTTACTACAAATGGGCTGATGAAAAGAAACTGAGATGTTTATATGTTGTAAAAACTACAACCTTCCTCAGAAACTCCTGTGTGGGTCAAATCAAGTGTATTCCATAAACTGTTTCTTTTCTCACTTAGCTGTTTTTCCATAGGCGCGTTTTCAGAGCACCTTAAGTGTTACCCTACGCAAGCTACGGTACCCAGGGGCTTCAGAGAAATCCTTGGTCTCATTACCAGAAATGATCAATAATATTAATAATGATAATAACAATGAACATTTGGCAAAAGTGGCATGGGTCTAGCCTAATACTGATCTCATACCATAAAATAGGCTCCTCCATGGTAGCAGCCACATTGGTCTGGGGGTACGCAGCGTTCACCACTCAACACCGTGCCTTCCTCACACTGGCACCCCTCCCGGCAGGGTTGAGTGCAGCCTGTGGAGTTGCTACGGCCACTGTCTCTCATGTCTCTGCACGTCATTGGGCAGCCGGGAGCACACAGCCTGTAGCTGGAGCCAGCGGGGCATCGGAATGCTGCAGCAAAGATGGAGCAAGGACAAGTATCACTGCACCGTCTATGGTAAGCAAGAATCTTCTGTGCTAAGCAGTTCCTGCAATAAATTTTACATAGCTTGGTGTATTTTTATACGAAGCATAAACCTTGTGCCACAAATTCGTGGCATAGTTGTGCATTATATTTACGGTCGACTTCACAAAAACTTCCTTTGCTGCTAGTTTTAATTATATGAATCAAACAGTTTTTAAATTGGCCCCACCCGCGATTTTTAAAACTTGATCTCTCTTCATTGAAACTGGGCAGAAAATCTCAAAAAATCCCTGTCAACCAAACAAGTTAATCCTTACCATTAAAAACCGTACCTTTTTATGACAACCCTCAAAAATGCACTTTTGTGTTACAATTTACATTACTTTTAATTTGGGTTTACGATTTTAAAAGGGTAGTTTGGTGTCTTAATGTCTTTAACCTTACTTATCAAATTTTGTTTTGCTATCTTAAAGGGTATTTTCATGAGCTGTCATGTCATTCAAGGGAAAAGACCTCAGTGTTGCATTGTGCACATTTGCGAACAAAATCTGCTCGTATTTCTGATATTTTTCAGTTCTAAATTTCCTCTTGCTTTGTGATTTGCTACTGTGTAAGTACATGTATATGAGCCAATGAGTAATTCCTAGTCAGAAATGTTTTTAACCACTTCCTGCCGGGGACTCGGGAATCGGAGATGTATGGTTTATATGCGTGGCCAGGGTCTCCGAACTCGGACAAAGGAAA